ATTCCATACCTTCCCTGGTGGTTCACTCCCACATCTGGCATGGCAGCTCTCTGAACTGACCCCTGCGAGCTCTCAGCTGAGTGGCTCAGACACTGGGCAGACTCCACTCTGGTTAATTGCTTGAGTTAATTGCTTGAGTGCCCACTCAGGGCCACTCAGCTTCTCAGGCAGGTTCTGCACTCCACACTGGCCTCCACCTCTGCTGCTTCACCAGGAAAAGCAGCAGTGCAGGTGTGCCATGCTTACACCTGCAGCTGGAAGGGAACTCAGCAGTGGAGGAGTGAACCCAGCATCAGCAACCACCCCAGCAGTGTCAGTGTAGCCTAATTAATGCATGCATCTCTCCATCTCTGCTAATACTTTATTGTGGGTCAGACATTCTACTGGTGTGTGACCCCAAAATTACCAGTTTACTTAAAACCACAAAAGTGGGAGGTAAATTGGTTGTTCTTCTGTGACAATGGTGTTTCCAGAGCTGGAGCCTTGTAGACACTGATCCCAAAGTACCATGAGCCCAAGGTCTTCAACAGAAGTTTTCTCCTATTGATATACAAGCAACATTCACTTACAACACAAGCACATTCCAATGCGTTTCCTTCACAGAAACTCTTTGGGATATTGATCAGAACTATTTAGAATAAATATCAGCATGATTTCTGAAGCAGTTTTCTGGAGTTTACAAATCCCATGGTGTTGACTGTTTACACATTCTGAATTCTGTTGTCGCTGTAAGCCATGAATGTGAAAGGCCTGGTCACCCAGCAAACAAAGGATACAGACTGGAGAAGTGCCAGGGAAATGAAAAGGTTTTATATTCTTTGCAAGAACATTTGAGTCATTTGGCCTACTAAAGTGTTTGAGGTGCATTCACTGTTGATTGCATTTGTTTTCCAGGCTCACTGCCACTACATTGCAGTGAAAAACTTTGCAGAAACTGTGGAAAAACTCGAGACCAAGGCTGGCATCCAGAAGATTATGAAACATCTCTGTGACCTCTTTGCACTGCACGGGATCTTCTCAAACACAGGGGCCTTCCTGCATGATGGATACACATCTGCAGCTCAAATGGACATGGTCACAGCTGCCTACCTGGACCTCCTGGCTGTCATTCGGTGAGCTGCTTTGGCAGGACACACACAGCTCTCCAGTTTATCCCTGGGCTGGATATAAAAGGGTGCTGCTGTACCTATGGCAACATCTCCACAGTCAATTCACCTCATTCAGTGTTTATTTCCAGTGCCTGGCAGTACTAGAAATTGATTGAAACATCTACTCAGAGCTTGTTTTCGTGGCAAAACAGACCCCAGTGTCCTCTGCAATCTCTAAAGTTCTGTAACATAAAGTCTTAAATTATAAATGAAGAAGTCATGAACACTTTCTACCATCTGCAGTAGAGTGAAAGCAGGGAAATATGTAGTCAGAGCACACTGGCAGGAGGCAGCCACAGCAACCCATCACACATTGCAAAATGTGCTCAAGCCACAGCTAATACAGCCTCCTCTGTTGCCATGGCTGAGCTGCAACTGGTACCCAAACAATCCTGCCTACAGCTACTTCAGATGCATCTGCTCTACACCATTTATCACCAACTCTGTGAATTCTGAGTTAAGGTTTTCACTTACCACGGCACTCACAGAGGCTTTTTGACAAAGGGTTCAGCTGTTTGTTTAGAACATAGTAACTTATGGTGCAGAGGAGTTGCTACTGTATCTAAAATTCTACCTAAGCCACCGGGAAAGAAACAAGAACACACTATAAGCAAGGGCTGAGCCAAACAAGAAAGGTTTTCAAAACTGATAACAGAATCTGAATTAAGTGATAATTTTAACATAACATTTTCAAAAGCCTAACATGTTGTCTTTGGAATTCATTGCAATTTCTGTGTTAGTCCATGCCTTGTTAACTGGATTCAAGAATGGAGTATTTACATGTTTACAGTTAGTAGAAAGGATATAACCACTTCCTGGTCTGTAGCAAAAACCCAGCCTTTCCCAAACCCTTTCAGCTCTTCCCCAAAAGGAACTGGAAGATAGAAATGCTGACATTTGAGCAAACCACTTTGCATCCTGGTACCTCAGGTACGAGGTACAGCCAGCACAACTTCCTACACCCAGGATGATGGAAGGATGAGGGAAAAGAAACCATCTCCTGCTTAGGAGGTGCTGCCTGTGGTCTGGTGTCCATACTGGCCCCTGGGCTAGATGGGCCCTTGGATGGGTCAGGGTTTTTTTGCTCTTACAGATATGAATAGAAGAGCTCAGCACCTCATAATGAGATAATGGAAATACTGAAAGGTGGATGAAGGTTGAAGATCAGCAAAGCAACTTCACATCAATCTAGTAGGAATCTTATTCCATTTTATAAGACACACATACAGTATTAAAAAAATGAAACAAAGACAAAAATCAAAAGAACAAACTGGCAGAGACTACTGAGAAAAAATCTGACATAAGTCCTGAATCAGGGATGGAGCCCGGGTGATGGAGCCAGGGTGAAGACCCTGCAAACACCCACTCAGCAGTGCAGACAACTCAGGGCATTGGTAGAACATCACAGAATGACAAAATTATTAGGGTTGAAAGGGACCCCTGGAGATCATCTAGTCCAATCTCCCTGCCAAGGCAGGGTCACCTAGAGATGTCTCTGAGGAATCAGAACATACAGGATTTCCCCCCACCCAGTAAAGACAAGAGGAAAACTGGCAAAAGCTTTCCAGGAGACACATGGAACCTGCCAAGTTTATCTTTGATTTATTTTCCCATCTTGCAAAGCAGCACCTGTCAGTAACAGGAATGTCACTCCTGTGCTCTGTAGGAAGGATGCTGTGCCACTGGTGGATGCTTTTGACTTCACAGACAAGAGCCTGAACTCTGCCCTGGGCAGCTACGACGGGCAGGTTTACCAGCGCCTCTACGAGTGGGCTCAGAAATCACCCACCAACCAGGTAGGGATGAACTACAGCTGGGCACCTCCAGCAGCCAGGGCAGAAACTGCTTCTCTTCTAACAAAGCAATACAGACAGGAGACAAGAGCTTTTCATTCCTCTTTGTATCACATGGTACAGAATAAGCTAAAATTAAAGTCTGTTTACATATTATGGAACAGCATAAATGCAGGGTATTTTCTATACACTAATGCTTCTACTAGTGCAAAACTTGGGGTTTTAAATATGTTTAACCAGAAAGGGTATAAGTGTTAAACAAGGCAATTTGATCCTTCATGGTCTTTAGCACTTTGCTTTCTCAATTCATCCATACTGTGGAATAATGGAAAAATTTTTTGTGATGTAAATATGTATTGCTCTGTTTGAAAACTCATTTGGCCTTGAGTGGGATTTTTACTGTGGTAATTGGTATCCCTCTGAAATTCCACACTTGAACACAAAATTTGCCTTCAGCAAACATTCAAGTCCAAGCATATTTTCTGAGGTTAAATAGTATGCTGTCCCCTTTGGGAGGAGCGTGGTGTGCTGGTTATGAAGGACAGCACGTATTATAGGAAAAAAGATCTTGCACATAGTTGAAGCAGCTGCTGGTTTGTTGGTTGTTTTTTAAGTAGTGCAGCTTTATGTGTTTCAGAGATTGTTCTTAAGAAAAAAAACCAGCCTTTCCCTTCTTAATTGTCATTAATTCCCTTCCACATTCTCTTTCTGAACAGATGAGCCCAGCCTACGAGAGGTATTTGAAGCCACTTCTGCACAACACGCTATCGAAATTATGAAGAACATGTTCAAAGTGAAGGGGACACATTTCCTCCTGTTCTTTGTGCAGCAGTACATTTATGAAGCATCAGTAATGACTAATCAGAATTAATAATCAGTTGCTTACTTGCAGTTACAACAAGTATGAAAGATTCTCAGCCAGCCATTTGCAATTAGACAGATGCCAACAGCGCTGAGTGGTACCTGCTGCTGTGAGACAATCCAGTCAGGAATGGTCCAGGGTTCACTGTTTTCTATCCTCAAGTGTCTTGACAGCATCAAAACTCTCTTTTGACTTTCTTATTCTCTTTCTAAATCCACTATATGATGATTGAGGGGAAAAAAAAAAAACCACCACCACACTGTGAACTCTCTCTCAGTGTGTTGTATCTGTATAGTGCCTTCAGAAAACCCAAACCAACCAACTTTACTGAAAAATCCACAGTGAAATCATGATTGTTTGTTTTTAGGAACAAGTTGTTCTCTTTGATCAGAAACTATATTAGAAAATGCATCTGTTTTGACAATTAAAATAGCTCTTGATTTGCTCAGTACTGGAATATTCCTGCCTAATGAAAATGCAGACAAAGCTGATGCCAGCTCCAGTCTGCAGAATTTACCTTCCCATTAATAGAGCTGCTCGTTTCTATAAATCTTGAGCTCCAATAAAGTCTATTATTTGGAATACTGCTTCTCTAATTATTATACTTCATAATTATGGAAAGGGCAAGCTGATCCAGGCCAGTCATTAATTTGCTCATAAATTAAGTGTTGCAAAGAACATCTTGTGATTATAATTCAATGCCAGTTAACACAAATATTTCTTACCACGTGTTGCAAGAAAGAAACAACTTTTCCTGAGCTTCATGAGTTCTGCTTCTCTTCCCTCCTTCTTAGCAAGAATACAGCTCTCACTGCTGCCTCTTATTACATAAGTCAAAAACCTGCAATGTATGAACAGGAAGAGACCAAATATGACAGAGAAATACCCCCGAGACAGCCTTTAGAGGCAGATAAGGGATGGAAAGCTCCCACTTACTTGGGACAAGAACTTCATGGGAGAACAGGATCCACTCCATGAAACAGATCCCAACTCCCTTACTCCCAGCTGCAATCAAGTTAGATCATAACCAGAAATTCTATTAATTACTATGACAAAGGGACCAGGATAAGTAAAAATGTCTGTATGAAATTGAGTAAAGCCATAAAATTTGAGTGCCTGGACTTGAACATCACTAGAAAAAGCATTTTGCAGTCAGAATTACATATATATGTATAAAGTCACTACATAAAGTGCTGACAAACCAGGCAACTCTATTAGCAGCTACAAGTATTTAGGCTCTGTGTTCCCTCCATCCCTATCCCTTTAGCCAGTACAAATATTTGCCATCTTTCTATCAATCTAAAGCAGTTTTCAGAACACAAGCTTTGTCTTGTGTCTAATGAAGACATTTGAATCAACTCATTAACATAATCAACTAATTCCATAAAAAGGAACAAGTTCCATCATTAATGGAAGAATCCAGGGCCCTACCAGAACACCCCAACTACTCCACAGCACAAAAAATCAGGATTTGGGTGGGAGGTTTTTTGTTTGGTTGGGTTTGATTTTTTTAAGTATGAGAATTCTAAAAGACAAAAAGAAAATACAAAACAGTATTCTGTATTTCACATTTTTATTAGCTTCTTCTGGCAGGCATTACACTTGGGAATAATATTGCACCAGGCATTAAAAATATGAATTCTACCACAGGGACATTTTGCATTTAGAATCCAATATAAATATTTGTAATCGTATTTCCATGGCTACAGATAATATTTGGTTGCTTGATTTATATGCATAGAAAGAAACAGTTGTCATAACTGTAAGAAACTGTACTTATCAAGTACTTTTAAAGGGTGGGATTTGTTTTCCTAGAATATTACAATACTGTTTATTGATTTAGAAACTAAATTAGTCTACACAATAGCAGCTTCTCCCCAAACTGCATTTTAAAATCTTTTTTGTTTCTTGCTCCCAGTGTCATAGCATTAGATGGATTAGAAACCATTTAAACAAGAGGTAATTTTAGCACTTTGAGTCGAGTCAGAGAATTGTGTTAATGACACAAAATACCCTATTGTACTGATTCTTCGGACTCCCTCTTTCAAACAAAAAGGTGTCTTGACTGAACAGGCACATGCACGGTTTTTTTTCTGAACTGGACAAAAGAACAGAGCTGCTAGAGAATGAAACTCCTCCAGTCCTCACTGATAAACAATAAATAGTCGTATAAAAAAAGCCCATATTGTTGCTTTAGTCAAAATCCAGACTCTCTTGGGTTCACAGTCCAATGAAGTTGCTAATCACTGAAGTGGCTCCCGTGGAGTCAGAATCAGTCATCTGTTTTCCGTGCCAGTCTGCAGAAAGTCCAGTTGTGCTCCACTGTGTTCTCGTTGGCACGCTCGCTCATGTGGTGCACGCGGGTGTTCCTGATGGTGAAGCCCTGCTTGGTGATGTACTCCATGAGGTGCACGCGCAGCGACACTTCCTGGTGGTAATCGCACGGCCCGAAGGTGAAGGACACCTGGCAGTCCCTGGTGTCCATCATGTGCTTGTTCCACTTGGTGAAGTGGTTGGAAATGCCTTCCAGCAGCGCGTGGACCTTGGTGGTGATGGTGAGCTGCGTGATGATCACGGCCACCGGGTTGGAGTACTTGGAAAGCTTGCGGGTGCTGGACAGCTCCACCACCTCCTCAAAGGTATCCACAGGATACAATGGCTTGGGGTCATTGAGACACTGGATCAAGGGCTCAATCTGATAGAAGTCTGCTTCCTTCCGGAGCAGGTCAAACTCCTTGAAGTCCAGTGGCAAAGTGAGCTCTGAGGTCCTTAAAAAGTTAAGAACATAACGGAAAAGTGGTCCATCTCTGTCAATAAAGTAATTGCCCTGAGAGTCCCTGGCAGTGGGGAAGTCTCCCCTGAACATGGCCCCGAGCATTGAGTCAGGATATCTCGTTAGAGTTGTGAGGGAGGTCGTGTACATGTGTCCACCCACATTTAGCGTGACTGGATCAGTCATCTAGAAAGAGAGAAATTGCAGAGTTTATCAAGCCCCAACAAGAAGATTCGATCACCTTGCTGACACACAGAGCAAACACTGCTGGAAAACTGGGGGAATCACACTTCTCCTGTTCGGTGCCTCTAAGGGCTGCTCAAACCTGAACAAATCCAAGGCACCTAGCAACAAGGCACAACTGGCAACTCGACAGGATGATACTTAGCATGCAGAATGCACATTTCCAGAATGCTTTAGAAATCTTAACAACTGAGCTACTGTCGCAGGATCAAGTTTAGCATTCAGGCAGCAAGTTTTTTCCTATTCTACAGATGGGGAAATGAGAACAGAGAAATTTCCCGAAGAACAAGTTAGTCAGAATGAGGCCCAGCAACGTTCCTTACTTTCACAAGCTGTCTCTCATTCTAGAACAAAACCAAAACCAAAAAAAAAAAAGGAAAGAAAAAAATCAGCCAAACAAACGTTAAGCCTCTTTTTATCCCTCAAAAGAGGAAGACAATGCAGGTTTAAACATAGGACCAAGAGCTCACTATCAAAATAATCCACACTTTGGCTCAGAGGCTTCATTAAAACAGGCAAGGAGAAAAAGAACTTTCAGCTTTTAACTCCAAAAAGAAATATTTATTAACAAATTAGTGTGCTGCATAGAAGTGGAGAGCAGAGCACAAACCAGTCTGCATCAGATTCCAGATAGCACATTGAGGAAGCAAGAGAGAAAGGAACATAAATCCCATCTGGCCATCAACTCTAACAACCAGGACTGCAGCCAGCCAGAGAAAAGAGACATATGCATGGCAGCAGAATGAGAAGGGGAGGAAAATAAGATGTGCTTGTCTAGTTTGAGACAAGGTTTACAAGGAAAAATACTTTTCTCGATAAATAAAATGACAGACGTCCTTAAAATAATAAGCAAAAAGCATAAACTATTTTCAGCTTTTGTGTTAGGAAAATGATAACAGTGAGCTCAAGGCATCAGTTCAGTCCTGGCTGACTGTGCCCAGCAAATGTGAACCTGGGCACTCCCCACAAAGTGCACAGGAGCTGTGCAGCACTCCAGGGAAGGTGTGCAAGCTGTTGTACAGCTGTTCTAACAGGCATAGTTTCCCTTCTCTCATGACTGAAGCTCTGGATCTATGAAGGCAGATCTGGAAGGACTCTGGCTGCAAGAGCCTGGAAGCCCAGCTGAGGTGCACAGTGCACACCTGCACTCACCATATATCCCCAGTCTCCATTATCCATCTGTTCACGTGCTTGAGCTGTGGGATTCCAAGTTTAACAGGAGGCTGCTGAAAGGATACACAATTCCTCTCCTCTTATCTCCCTGCAGGAAAAAGCACACACAAACACAGAACAAAACATGGCAGACCATCAGCACCTACAAGAACACCAAGGGGAATGCTTTCCAATCAAAGGCAGGCTCTCTGCCAGGAAAGCATTCAGCTACAAAGTCACATTAGCAGAAGAATCTGCAAACCCTCTTTTCCCTCCTTCTCCCCTCACATTACCCACAGGACTGCCTCTGGAGCACACACGGCCACTCCACCAGTTGCCTGAACATCCCAGATTTCTTGAATAACAAGCAATGTGCCTCTGAGGACAATACATGTTCACAAGCAACCTTTCACCTGGGAAACTGTGAGTACTTTGAAAGACAGATGTTATTTTCCCAATTAAAAAAGTTTATTTAGCCACCTCTGAGGTCACACATGTGATCTGTTAATATTAGTCAACATTCCCATGCTCCAGTTTCAAACTGCTCAGAAAAATAAATCAAGCATGAAAGTCAATGAACACTAAGAATAAAAAAACCCTCACTGCAGAATTAATAATTCAGTAGTGGAGAACTGCAACTGATAGCAAGAACATTAATCTACAGACAAAGAGTATGAAAGGACTTCCCAGACACCTACTCTCAAAAGCAATCTCTGTAGGGACAAGCCAGAGGACATCTAACATGCTGTCAACACACACCAACAAAAGCAATTTGAGAAGAGATTCATGCTGTGACTCCCCAGAAGATGCTGAACTGTTGACTTGCATAACAAGGAGACTGTCCACAGGAGCACAAGGCAAATCCCCAGCCAGGCTGTGCAGCTCAAGAAGGGGGAAGTGAATGACCTCAGAGTCCAGTGTTGATGTGCCAAAGGTGGCCTGTCAACCTTGTCAAGCGATGGAAGGACAGGGAAGCCAGTCATCAGCCAGCCTTTATCCCTGCCCAGAGCTGCCTCTCTGCTAGAAGTGCTGAAAATTTAGGTCAGCCTGTTTTAAGTAGGGTAGAGCTTCTCAGCTTTGTTTATTTTTACATCTTAAAAAGACCACACAGTTCCCAAGACTTCTGGTCCCATCCTCTTTACTAACAAACTTCAACATGCAGCCACCCAGCTAAAGGCAGCACAAAGATTTAGCCAAGCCAGAGCCCCACGTTCCAAAACTACTCATTGTTCACAGTTAATTCCCAACCAAAAAAGATACCTTGCCCTTCCCATGCCTAGGAAATGAGGTGGGTTTCATTCACCACAGAACAAGGCAGCACATCCCACCTCTCTGTGCCCTGCTGCCCTGCCCAAATCCACAGCCTGGGCAAAACAGTGCCCAGCAGGTCCTGGGGACCCAGCAGCACAAGCACAGCCCCAGCTGCATCTCAGGTGGATTAAAGAGTATAAAAAACAAAATCAGTATATGAAAATAGTGAGGTCAGAACAACAGAAGACTAAGGAATACTAAGATACAGAACAAGTCATACCAGGATCCTATTTTTACAAATTAGAGACAGAGTATGCCTCAAGAGAGGACATTAAAGCACATCCCCCAGCAGCAGATAAACCTGGAACACCAGCTCTTTTGCCAACATCTCTAATTATTTTTTTTAACTGCTCACAAATCAAGAACTCAATTCTTTCAGGGTTTTGCTGTTTGCTTTTTTGTTTCATTTTGTTTTGTTTTTTGGGGGGGATTTTGGGTTTGGGCTTTTGTTTGTTTGTTTCTTTGGGGGGGTTGTTTGGTTTGGTTTTGGGGTTGTTTTTTTTTAATTGTCACTCAAGTACAGTTTGTAAACTTTGAGCAATAGACCAGACCTTTTAAATTCTAGCACTTGAAGGTGTTATTCTGCTCCAGTACAAGATGAGGAAAACATGAAGAGGCATTAAAACCATATGAGACTGGTACAGATTTCTGACACTCACTCAAAAGTGAAATGATGCAGCCAGCCAGAAACCTCTCCAGTAATCATGACAGAAGAGATCTGCAGTCTTAATAAAATTAACTCAAATTAGACATCCAGAATATTTCAAAGGCAGAGATGTCCATCAGTTATTTTAACTAGGGAATATGATGCTATTTTGGTCAGCATGTAAGTCCAGTACAGATGAATCAAGACTTCATCAGGGAAAGAAAGCGATGACACTGCAAGCCGGTGCAAAGGCATGATTTAATCTTTGATCACAGCTCTGCTGTGTAACACCAGAGTGAAAAATTTACAAGAGCAATTATCTGGAACAAACCTAGCCCTAAACATAGAAGGGGCACGGAGAAATCTCTGTGACCTTTGTGTAAGGACCCAGAGCCAGGAGGCACACACAGAGCGCCCAGGCAAACCAGTGCTGGAGCGAGATGTGCCACACAAAAGGAGATACCAGGAGCCCATCCTGAAATGCCTGAGAGTGATCCCAACCCTTCACTACCTCCCTCATCAACCTGGGAGTTCTGAATTTACACACAGCTTCACAGGTGAGAGTAGCTTAGTTTGGGTACAGCCTGAGCTAAGGACTCACCAACCACACCACAGCAAGGCTGAGGATGGACACCCTTCATGACATGTGCCCTCTCAATGATGCTTTAAATCCTCCTGAACGGGACACAGTGATCACCAGGGGGTGGGCAGACACTCCATCCATCCCCCAGCACAGGCAGCCTCAAGCCAGCTCTGTCCTTGTGTCACACACCAGTGGACTGCACGCAGGAACAAGCTTGCCAACACAGCTACTCCTGTCCAGACAGCAAATTACAGATGACACACAGCCATATCCCAAGGCAGCCTACATTTGATAACCACAAAAGAATATGTGAAGTGAAATTCAGTCAGACAAATTGCTGACACAGTTCAGCCAAACGGGATGTCCCTCTCTGGTGGGAGCAGAAGTGCAGGGACGGTGTCAGACCACAGTCCTGCTGTGGTGACACTGCTGTGCCTGCAGGGAGGGGACACACAGCAGGGACACGGGCACTGGGGCTGCTGCCACAGCCCAGCACAGCCAGAGCTGGAATGGCACAGTGAGAAGCAAGAAAAGCACTCAGGTCATCACTTTACACTCGACACACCAAACTGGATACCTGCACTTATAAAATGCTTGCTCTTATTTCATTTGTTATGACTCAGAGGATTACAGGGCTGTTTATCAGCAGCACTGCTGCAACAGGTAGTGCCACTAACTCCAGCAGGGCTTCTCCCACAACACAGCTGCAAACCAGTTTGCAAGCTGAAATTCAAAGAAAGCATTTAAGAGTCAGATGAATGTCTGCACCTGTGAAAACACACACACAGACACACATACACAGGCCAGGGAGGCCAGCAGCCCTGCCAGGCATTCATCCACACTGCTGGCACTACAGGCTCCCACCACTCCTGGAGAGAGCCCTGCAATGGTGCAACATGCAGTTACTCAAAGGAGGAGCAGAAATACACCAAGCTGTTGTAAGTCAAGAGGCACAGACCACCTGATTTGCTCTGAATGTTCCTCACCTAGTTTTTCAAATAAGAATTAAGGGATTTACTCCTGGCAATAATCTTTCATGGGCAGTTTGGTATCAATATTACAGCACAGGCTGTTTAACCTCAAGAGTTACCTTTGATTCCTATGTCAATAGAGAGATGGAAGGAATTCTAGCAATGGCAACTTAAAAATGAAAAAGAGCAAGGTAAGACTCTGACATACACTTGGCATTTCAGCTACTCACCCCCTTTGTGAGCTCCCTGCCTCTCACACTTAGATCTCACAAGATGAGAAGGAACTCCATCCACCAGCACAGTTATGCTGTACAGGGACAACCTCTCTCTTTCCCAGCCAGTCAGAAAATTTGAAAGGCAAGTTCTTACTGTAAATTACTGGTGACTCACCTGAACTGACAAACACTGAGCAGCACCAGTGCTGACTGCTCTCCACCAAACTACAGTGAGCTGATGGTCTGCAGGGCACCCCTGAGCCCCAGCTCTGTGCCACCCTAACCAGGGGAGTGAGGAGGAGGAGGAGGAACGTTCTCAAAACAACCAGTTACCAAATCTTCTGGCAATTCAGCAGATCAGCTTCACTAAAGAAAGCACCTACTGCCTTCTACACATGTCAAGTTTATCATGACTAATGCAGTTTATTAAAAGTTAACTTAGCTTTTGCTTTTCTTGGGTTGTTTTATACTAATACTCAGTCTTTACCTCAGGCAGGATGGAAAAACGCTCACGCTAGCCACTCAACATTTTCACTCCTTTATGTTTAATTGCTTCACAACAAATTCCAAGCTCCTAAAGTTTCCATCCCTTCCCCAAGGAGCTCTATGACATCCTGTTTTAAGCCCTGATTCCAAACCTGTATTTCAATTGCTTCTTGTTGGAAGAGCCCACATCCAGTACGACTTTGGTCCTCCTATAAGAGACCCAAAGGAGGACTCTCACATCCAGCCTGGTCCTGCTGAAGCAACCCAGGGCACTCAGGCTTCCAGGACCTGTGATAATAATTGGGGTTTATCCATGCACTTTGCTTCTGTGATATTAGCCAGTGCTTTTCCATTGAGGAAACACGTCTCTGAACAGTTCTGGCGGGGGGCAGGTGTCAGACACACGGAGCATCCCTGCACACAGCTGGGGCTTGGCACTCACACGGACCAAGGAGGGACAGCCACATGGGACAGAAATCCCCCCGGGGAGCGCAGAGTGGGGTCCAGGGCTGCAGCAGGAGCCGGGAAGTGCCCGTTTCCATCCCAGAAGAGCCAACGAGACGGTGGTAGAAGAACTCTCCCCCGGATCACCGTGATTCAGCAAAGATGCTGGGATTAACCCCTTGTGCTCTCTCCCCGCAAGTGACCCGCGAGCCCATGGCCTGACCCCCACCCAGAACAGAGCCCCAGCTCTGCTCCTCTCCCGCTGGGGAAGCGGGACCCGCTCCCCTCCCGGTACCGAGCAAAGCCCCGGTCCGGAGCCTCCCTGCCAGGGCTCAGCGCCGGCACCCACCGGGCATCCCCCGCGCCCGACCGGGAATGGGACCCGTAACACCCCCGGTCCCAGCCCCACGCCAACTCGGGGCCTCCGCTCTCGGTGCCCGGCCGGGCACGGCCCCGGGAGCCCGGCACGGCACGGGCACCTGCCCCGCTCCCGCTCCCGCCGTGACGCGCTGCCCTCCGCGGCTGCGGCCCCCGCCCCGCACCGCCCCCCGAGCCGGGGCAGCCCCGGGCCCGGCCCCGCGCCCCCCGCCCGCCCCGGCACTCACGGGCGCAGCTCTCGGCACTGAGGCGGAGCCCGGCGGCAGCAGCGGCGGCGGCGGGGACCGTGCCCGAGCCCGGAGCGGAGCCGCCGGCGCGGGCGGGGACGGCGCGGGGGAGTGTCCCGGCGGGCCCCGCCCCGGCGGTCGGTGACGGGGCGGGGCGGACGGGCGCGGCCGGGACGCGCGTTCCCGCCGCCCAGGGGCTGCCCGGCGGTTCCGGCGCGTCCCCGCGGGCGCGTCCCCGCGGGGCTGCGCGCGCCCGGCCGGGGCCGCGGGCGGGGCGTTCGGGCGCGCGCCACGCGCGGCCCCGCGGGGGTCCCCGCACGGCCCCGGTACCGGAAGTGGCGCAAGAAGGCCGCGCGCTCCTCGCCACGCCCGCGCGCCGCGGAACCTCTCGCGAGAGCCGCGGGGAGGCGGGGCCGGGCGGCCCAGGGCGAGAGGACACGGGCAAGATGGCGGCGGCTGCGGCGGCCCTGCGGCACCTGGCGCTGGGCGCCCGCCTCGCCCCGCACGGCAGCGGCGCCCGGGCCCCGCTCCAGCGGCTCCAGCAGCGCAGGGGCCTCCGCCTGTCCGCGTCCGCCGCCATACAGGTAGCGGGGAGGGCTGCCCCCTCAGGGAAGGGTTCGGCCCCAGGCGGGCGGGCGTTGAGGTGACTGCGCCGCCGGGCTGAGGTGACTCCGGCGTGTGAGGAGCCGGTCCCCGCTCAGCCCGCCCGCCGCTGTCTCGCAGGTGACGGTGCGGGACGCGCTGAACCAGGCGCTGGATGAGGAGCTGGAGCGAGACGAGCGCGTCTTCCTGCTGGGCGAGGAGGTGGCACAGTACGATGGCGCCTACAAGGTACGCGGGAGACGCTGGCGGCCCGGGAAGGGGCTTCAGGCGGGCCCTGACTCCTTGCTCCTACCCTGCAGATCTCCAGGGGTCTCTGGAAGAAGTACGGGGACAAAAGGGTGATCGACACCCCGATATCTGAGGTGAGGCTGCCTTCTCTCCTACCCTACTGATGCCGTCATCAGCTGCTCCCTGGTCCTTATCCCTTGGTTTCCTTCTCTTTCAGATGGGCTTTGCAGGAATCGCTGTCGGTGCTGCTATGGTTTGTACATTTGCATTCCTTTACTTCTGCTTTTAAAAATTGAACCGTTTTTATGTCAAAACCCATATTTCAATACACTTAATAGGCAGGGTTGAGACCGGTGTGCGAATTCATGACGTTCAACTTCTCGATGCAAGCCATCGATCAGGTGATCAACTCCGCTGCCAAGACCTGTTACATGTCTGCGGGCTCCATCGCCGTGCCCATCGTGTTCCGCGGCCCCAACGGCGCCTCGGCGGGCGTGGCCGCGCAGCATTCCCAGTGCTTCGCCGCCTGGTACGGCCACTGCCCCGGCCTCAAAGTCGTCAGCCCCTGGAGCTCCGAGGATGCCAAAGGGCTGCTGAAAG